GGTGCCCGGCCAGTCAGGGGGGAGCTGGGCAGGTGCGGTGGCGGAAGTGCGGGGACGGCGGCCGAAACGGAGTCCTCTAGGAAGCCGGGGCCTCGGGTCAGCCAACGGGGAGCAGCTGCGGAGCGCCAGCCAGACCGCGGCGGCTCTGGCTCAGGAGCCGGCGAGATGTCTCTGTTCGCAGCCAACCCTTTTGAACAAGACGTAGGTGAGTGCGGTGAACGATCCTGGACTGCCGTTTGTCCAGCGAGAAAGTGGGCGGTGGCGACTCCGGGGACCAGGAAGCTAAGCTAAGGCAGGGAAGGGGTGGTGCTGCTGTGTAGGCGTCGGGATTTTTCTGGGGGCAGCCCCTGCGCGTTGCTAGCGATCAGGGGAGCGTTTCTAGGCTGCTTGAGTTTAGGGACCCCTAAGGAATGTTCCCTTATCAAGCGCGCTAATGGGAAAGAACCCTCGGTCTCTCTGGAGAGTGGACTAATTGAGTAATTGCAGTGTTGACACAAACTTCCAGCTCCCCCTAGAGCTATTAACTTCACCCCTCCCCCCGATTTGAACACTTGTGGCAGTGGGGACCCTGTTGTCTGGGGCAGCCCAACCCTAGAGACCTTAGCTGCTCCCATGGAATAGGAAGAAATTTCCTATGTACACATGCAGCCAAGCTCTGATAGTGCAGTTTCAGGACTGACAGTTCTGGAGGTGCCGTGAGATGCTCTACCTTAGAGTGTGAAAAAGAAAACTCTTGCATCTCAAAATGGCCCGGACTAACTAATAGTTTACTTGTGGGAGTCAAAGGCTCTGTTCTCTTGGTGATTCTAGGGTAAGAAAGAGATGAATGGGATATTAGAACTTACTTTTGGCGTCAGGATAACAGTAAAGAACAAACAGGCTAGGAGAACACTTTTGTAGGGGCAGTTAACAGAACCTCAAGTCAATTTTTAGGATTTATAATGAAAAACAAACAAAAATCATGATTGAAAATTGCCTGAGTCTCACAGAACACATTTTTGCAGTGAGCTATGTATTTTATAGTTAGAAATTGTATTTAATGAGACTAAATTAAGGGTGAGTAATAGATGTATTATACATGTATGTGTGTAAGTAGTTCTTTCTTGACTCTTAGATGGTACTAGATGGTCTTCAGATATGTAGCCCATTATTTCATTCAACTTTTTGTCTTAGTTGATCTCAGGTAACTGGCATAAATTTAGGAAACATAACATAACATTAGTCTCTGCTTTGAAATGCTTACTTATGTTACCTTAGTGAGACCTGAACATTTTATTGCAGTTGTGAAGACTTTCATTTTGTTATAATGAAGTAAGATAAAAGAGGTGAAATATAATGACACAAATGATTTTACATTTAAAAAATGATGAACTCTTTCTTCAAGGAAACTTTTTCCTGAAAGTTCATCATTTTCTGATTGCAACTTCTTTGGTAAGAGTAGGCTGAGTTGTTGCCTTTTTTGCTTTCCTACAACATTGCTTCAGTGGCTCTTGAGGTCCCTGCTTGATTTAGTGGATCCCAGCTTCGTACCACTGGTGTAAAACAAGACACTGCTGTTCTGACAGAGAACACTGTATATAGGTCATTTCATGGGCAGTGTCATCAACCGGACCTTCAAATGCTTACTCATTAGCTCTAGTTTGGCTGAATTCGGCACCCAAAAGACAGTTTAAAGGTGAACGAAGCAAAAACAAACAAACAAACAAATAAATAAGGGACTAGCCGTTAGTGTAATGGCTATGTCGCTGAACTCCCATATAGTCGACCGCGGTTGAAGTCTTGGACTCGGTGGCTTAAACTCATGCCAAGTGCATGTACGTGTGTGCCCAAGGTCCCGAGAGGAGAATGGAGTAGAAGGGGTTGCGGGGTCTCCAAACCTCCCCCCCCACTTGGGGGATGATTTCTCACTGTCTCTCTGTGTCTCTCTGGCGAGTGCACGCACCCTATAGCAAAAAAGAAAGAAAAAAAAGTGAACAAATGAGTTTAGTTGAGGCCTAATTTTAACTTCTTCTAGACATGAATGGAATTAGAAAAGTGGAGTGAAATACCGAAGAGCTTGGAGGCCAGCTTGTGGTCTGGTGGTTAAAATGGCTGGATCCCACATGGCCAGCTGTGCAGTATAATTTCCCAGACCTGGTGGCTTGAAACACACCAAGCATGTGTGAGCATGTATACCTGTGTGCCCAAAACCCTGAAAAAAGAGAGAAATGGAGGACAAAGGATTGCAGCGTGACCACTCCCCACCCCACCCCCCCATGTACCCTCTGGCTGATTTAAAAGAAAGACACACTGAGGAGCTCAAATTAGCCTTAAACCTATACCATAGAAGAAAAATTATGTATTGTTTTTCAAATCTTAAAGCACCTTTTAATTTAAAATAGTTAATACTTGAGATGTCTTCAGGAATGTTCCTTTACAGTGTCTTTGTCTCTCTCACCTTTTCTTGATTTAGTCTGATTTTTGTTACCTTTTTATTGTTGTTGTACCTTTGTTTACTCCTCATTCAGCAAGTATGCATTGAGTGATTACTGTGCATCAGGCATTGGGTATTCTGCTGACATAAAATCGAATAGACTGTGAGCTCCTAACCTCAGGGAACTCTCAAACTAGTGGAAAACATACATACACATAAAAAGATAATTATGATGTAGCGCTAATCAATGCAGACATGTGCTGCAGGATGACATTTCAGTAGACTAAGGATTGCATAGACCATAGCGGAGTGTACTCTGCAGTATTCACACAGCGAAATTGCTTAACGAATGGAGCACCTTTATTAATTGATGCGCGACTGTACAGTGTGAGGGATACACAAGATGCTGTACTTCTCCCTTTGTTTAAAGCAGTAATTTTCCCTGAAGAAAACACAAGGACCTTCAGGTAGGAACTTTCTCTATAAAGGGGTCTTTGCAACATCATTCACATGGGGAAGAAATCCTTTTGTGGGTACCTGAGAAAAGCTGTGATATGGGTCAAGATGTCTAGGAAGGCACTCATGAATTGATAGTGATGTGTAGCCTGTCATATGAAAGCAGGCCAGAGGCTAGGAAGTAAGGAATGCTGACAAGGTCGGATTTTTTTCTTCGAGTGGGAACCTACAAGCTCCAAAGGGTATACTAGGTAGGATAGCACATGGGCTCTTTAAACATTTTCTTGGATTTCTTCAACTCTAGATTCTTTTTTTATTGTTCAGTAAGATTTCTTTGACATTATTCTGAGGGGGAAAAAAAATAGGGCTTGCTGATAGCATGGTGATTAAGGCAGCTGGATCCCACATGGTCAAGCATGTAGTTTGAATCCTAGACTTGGTGACTTGAAAAACATGCCAGGTGTGTGTGTGTGGCCAAAATACCAAGAGGAGAATGGAGGAAAAGGGGTCTCAGCATGGCCATCTCCTTGGAGGGGAGGGGGTGGTCGTTTCTCACTTTCTCTCTCTCTTCTCTCTCCAGTGAGAACATGTGCCCTGTAGCAAATTTTGAAAAAAAAGAAAGAAAATATCCATCCCCCCAACCCCATCTCCCACAGGTACTCAAGTCTTAAGTTAGGGGCTATCAAGTTCCTGCGTTGGAGCTTGGTTGGAGTATTTTTTTAAATAATTTTTGCCAGAGGATGTGTGTGCTCACTGGAGAGAGAGAGAAAGCACCCCTTTATGGGGCATGGTCATGCTGCAATCCCTTTTCCTCCATTTCTTTCTCCTTTCAGGATTTTGGGCGTGTGCATGTGTGCACTTAAAACACGCACGCCTGATGTGTTTTCCAAGTTGCTGGGTTCAGGACTTGAATTGTTGAGTGGACTATGTGGGATCCAGCTGCCTTAGCGTCCACACCATGCCCTGGCCCAGAGGCAGCCATTCTTAAAAATTCCAGTGGGAAAGGGAATCATGGGGAACAGAGCTACGGTCAGAAGACTTAGTGGTTAATATTAAAAGGGAAAGTGTCATTTCCTTATGTTCTTTACCCATTTTTCCAGTCTTACTACATTGGTTTCCCAGTCATGACTTCAGTGTTTTAAGTTCTGACTCTTGTTTGTGTATCTTTTTTCCCCTTACTGGAGCCAGGCAATCTTGCTTGTCACTTTGGCCTCTGTACTATTTACCATTCATTGCTAAATGCTGCCTCTTCTCAACAACCTTGGTACCCTGTGTCTTAAAGGTATACCTACTTTGGTCTCAGAAACTGAGCTCAAATTCTGCTTCTACAAAATTCTTCTGACACAGCATTTCAAAGTGTGAATATTTAAAAGTGTACCTTTCCATGTGACATTCGAATGTGTGTGTTACCATGCCTGGCTTTTGTTGTATGAGAAGAACTTAACAATGAAACAACTTAAGATTTTCAGTCCTGCAGTCTTTTTTCCAGTGAATTCTTTTTTAAAAGAGATCTAGTTTAAAAAATGGATTTGATAGCATTCCAGTAATACAAATATATTTTATACATTCACATTTATAACATTTACTTAGTAAGTCACCAGTTGAGTTTGATAAAGTTATAAATTTTGTAAAAAGTTAAAATGAAAAGAAATGCTTGATTATGGATAAGAGTGGTAGCCTTAACAGCCTTCCCCCCCCCCCCCCTGTTGCTTTTTTGTGTTTGTTGGTAACGTGCCTTATTGTGCTTGCATGGTACCAAAAATCATCATATCTTTAGATAGTTACAAATTTTAATGAATACATCTTTTAGTTTGCTGTTATGTTGATAAACAGAAATACCTGAGATTGGGTAATTTGTAAAGAATTGAGTTTTACTGGCTTACAGTTCTGGTGACTGGAAATTCCGAAGGCATGGGATAGCCATCTGGCAATCCTCCACTGTATTACAGCATGGCAGAAAAAAGCGAGTGCGTGCAAAAAGAGAGCAACTTCAGGCATTCATTATTGCTTATTTACTTTTTAAAAAAGATCATTCCATTTGTTGTTATTATTATTATTATTGCCTTTATTATTTTTAATTTGACCAGACAGAGACAGAAAGGGAGTGGGAAAGTGAGAAAGCAAGCCACCAGGTATGGGACTCAAACTGTGGTTGGCCACGTGGGAATCCATCACCCCCAACCCCCATGCCACCTGCCAGCCCTATGTACTTATTTTTAAAGTTTGTTTAGTTCTTCCATGAGGAGCAGGGAGACCCCCAACAGCGTGTTGTGCCCCCAGCCAGCCCAGTTCATGGACACACACTCACAAGCCTGGTGTGTCCAGGGAAGCCTTGT